AATAACTTATTTACTAAACTTAAATAATTATAAAGAAAAGTAAATCCATGACAAAATCCAGTGATTTCTATTATTAAGCATGGTTGCTTATCTGCGCAATTGCCTAAATCTGCTTCATTTCCCGGTATTGAAGTCCAATTAGATCTGTATTGGTTTAAAGTATTTTACAAATGGTGGCCAAACAAAAATCATCAGCTGAAAATCATCCTGTTCTCTGAAATCTTGCTTTTTAACTGCACTCCCCACTAAAGATCAACCACTTCCGCCACTCCATCATTCTCTTCACATGTCAGCCTGTCAGCAGCTTTGAAAACTGCACATTTTCCCATGAAGTTTGGTGGACGGATCAGCCTCAGGCGAAGGAGCAGCTGATTAGATCTGGGTGGATATTCAGTTTTGGTATTTCTCTCTCTAGGTGCCCTGGCTTTATTTTACCTGCAATAATCATTTGTTCTTTAATAATGGATTAAGATGCGCCTTTGTAAAGCTTTTATACATGTGTGCCACAGATGCCTTCTTCCAAAACACATTGCAGTTCAATGAGTTTGTGTATCCTGAAGCATGCATGTGCTTATGGAAATCTGAGCTTTAAAAATCTGTGTTTGATCAGAACAGATTTCGGACCGAGTGAACTGACCTGGAAATGTCAGGGCTGCAGGAGGAAACAGCTGATTTGAACTACAAATCAAGGTGATTCATGTTTCCGATCCTCTCTAAAGACGTGTTCTTATGGGGGAAAGAGACTGCTCTGGCAAGTAAAAAAAAAAAGGACAAATTATTTTGTAGCTCAGTGGGTGTTCAAGAGCATCATTAGCGAGTGTCAGATGATTAAATCAGGCTCAAACCTCACATATTTCAACTTTTCTATTCAAATATTCAAATGATTACTTCATTTGCAGATTGGACAGATGTCAATTCTGATTTTGATGCAGTTCTGCTGCTCTGGAAATGTCTTCTAAACCATGTAACAAAATGAATTCACCAATGTGAGGAAAAGACCATGCAGGATCATGTTTCATGTTTAAAGATAAAACCATAACTTTAAATACCTTTATGTATAGCTGCTTGCGTTTCGTTAATGTATTTTTTAAGAAGAAATGGGGATTTACATTAATCATTCTTAATGTTATATTTGCAGGGTTTACATCACATATTTGAAGGCTTGTAAGCTTTTTTCTATTTCTCTAAATGTCTTTTCTATTACATGTAGCATTATCTGAACAACAAATTCACCGTAAACTGTAGTAATCCGGATTTTTCGAAACAAGTTCTGGATATAAAGTCCTGTTGAACATTTATATTTAAACAACCTGTAATTCTTTTGCAGTATAAAATCCAAGTATTTTTTTATTTAAAATCTGAAAATCACGAGATTGGAGTCAATAAATAGCTAAATCAGAAGGCAAGTCTGGGGTTTTTTGAGGTACGGAAAAACTGAAAAAAAAGGGAAAGCAACATTTTTGGGGGGAATTTGTGTGTCAAGCTTCACCACAGCTGTTGATCCAAGCAGCATTAACTGTCTCTTTGTTTGTCCATTAGTTTAAATCCCCACAGATGTGAATATTGAGCATTTATTGCCTTTTAAGCAACAAACAGGTGACAATAAACCTTATAAAACCACAGCTGTATCCACATTTGTGTGTCCCCCCCATCCCTCTGAGCTGTCTCCCTTTGACGCATAATGATTTTAAATAAAACCAAACGGGCATGTGGATCAGATTATTATTACCAGTCTATTTTCCATCTACTTCTCTGCAGCTCTGTAGTAACACTTCAGCTCCACAGCGACCTGAGGGATTTCTGGCTGGATGCATCATGCTCAGCTCAGTCACGTGTTTATAATTCAGAATCAAGAGCACCCACACACTGGCAAACACACAAAAACACACACACACACACACACACACTAGGCACACACAAAAAACACACACACACCCACACAAGAGCATGTCACATTAAAGCCTAAACAGTTGCATGCAAATGCGGAAACAAAGAGGACACTTTCATATTCATATGTGCATCTGAAGTTCAGCGTACTGCACACCCACAGACACACACACACTCTCTCACACACACACACACACACACACACACACACACACACACACACACACACACACACACACACACACGCACACACACACACACACACACACACACACACACACACACACACACACACACACACACACACACTCACACACTCACACACTCACACACTCACACACTCACACGCGCACAGTTAGAGCCTTGCAGCAGTATCCAGTGGTATTCTCTCCTCTGTATCAGCTCTGCCGAGGCTCTGCTGCCTTCTCTTCTGTCTGTGTCTCATTTTCAATTTTCTGCTATAGTTTTTTTTGCTAATTAAATTCTTCTTTAAGAAACACTGCAGCTTGCTCTCATTGTGAAACAAATCTTGTTGTTTATGACTCACAATGAAAAGACAATGCTGCAATCAGATTTCTCCGAATCGTATCTCGCCGTTTATCTCTCCCAGAGTCTTCCTCTCTGACTGTATGTGTTTACAAACTCTTTGTACTACATACCGGTTTAGCATTAAGTACCACACAGACAGAAATATGAAGTAAAGAGCAGATTATCAAAAAATTATCTCACAGCTGTGACCGGGGCTGGCAACATTTTCTAAACAACAAAGCAGGAGGGCAGTCCCTGACGTTCCTACATGCAGATATACCTTCATAAATTCAGCCTTCGTATAAATGGAAACGCTTGAGCAGACACACACAACTGACCTCTGCATCGTCTACTTCAATGTTGTCTTTAATTTACCTTGTCTACATTTCATATTTGTAGTTGCGCATGTGCACATAAAGATAGCTGGTTATGATGTAATCAGTACTATTTGTGTTTTCCATTAGATGGACAATAGAAGAATGTGTTGTTGGTAGTGATAAACATGCAGAGATAATAAGAAAACCCACATTTGCAGCTGTGTTTAGCGTCTGCCTTCTATCTGTTTTGGTTTCCTCTCCGGCAAGCACATTTTTGTAATGGCCAAATGATGGTAGTACAACTTCCGTGTTCGTCCGTGACGTCAGCAGGCCGAAACCTTTTTTCCCCCATTGACTTACATTGGGAAAGCGACCACCAACCACTGCCCATATATTAATCATTTGGGTCTAAAAGGTGTAAAATGGTTTATAAATTAATCCAGAGTTATTTTAAATCTCTAATTGCTTTGGATGAGCGAAGATTGGCCGTATTGTTACCAATTAGATTAAGCAAAAAACAAGTGCGCATACTCTTTGGACCCAGATACGGGCCCTTTGGCTCTCAAGACTCATAATGCGCCACTTAGCAACTTTCATAGGAATGAGGGGCGGGGGGTCCTGCCTCCAACTGTATCCAGTTCCCTTTATACATCCATGATTTTAAGCAGCAGCTTTTTAGCTCTAGAAACCCACTGTTTGCTACCTTTCGCAGCAACAACACAGGATAACGTCTTCACTTTGTCAATAGTGCAACATAGTTTTGCAGACCAACATTTTTTTAATACATAGATTTCTTCATTGGATAAAATCGTGGATGTTCCCTTGGCTGCCGTTCTATCTAAATGACAGGAGCTTGGTAATTAAAACATTTTTGGTATCAGCTCAGCTCCCTTGGAAAAATGTATCGAGGGGGAAACACAAAAAAAAGGGCCAGGTAGTATACGCCACAACCTTTGCTAAAAGAGCGACACTAGTTGAATAGAGTCTTGCCATACTATGCAGTGAAAATGTATTTGCCCGGTTCGGCAGAAACATCCAAAATCCAATGCTAATGATGCATAAATCAACAGTTTGCTTACATATTCACTACTTTATAAGGTAATAATATGTCAATGTGGTGTTTGTGGCTTGTTGTGCTGCCCACAAATGGCTAAAAAACAGAGTGCAGAATGATATCCTTATTCCCAGGTTACAAAGCAACAGCAAAGGAAAGGAGTTGTGTTCTGTAATGCTTACTATAAAGGACACACTGCCTTGAAAACTTGAAAAAGTCATATAAAATAATAAAATAATAGATCATGTAAACATGATCTATTATACTGCCTTTCCCCACAAGATGGATAGTGATTCTTGCTTTTTTTTTGTATGTATACATTTAATTCACCTGCCTCATATGCATTAAAGCATCCTCACAGCTCTGCTTCTCTAAAATCCGATCAAACGATCTGAAGCCAGTCCTTACATTCCCTCGCTAATCTTCTCATCCTTCCAATAAATGTTGAAACAATCGCTGAACATTTACAAAGACATGCGGTTGATCTGCCATCTATAAATCATCATAAAACTAGCTGCGATGATTCCTTCTATGGCTCGCAGGATTTCACAACACTGCCGTCAGCATTATGAAGAATGTCTTTGTGGTTTCAATTAGCCAGAATTGAAAGTTGTCAGAGTTGAGAAATAAAAAATGAAAAGACAGACAGAGAAAATAGCTCTTCTGATGATCATGCAGTTCTAGTTCACATCAAAACCAGCAGAGAGAGGAAACAATAAATTATGAATATATAATGGTTGAAAAGAGGCTGTCACAGGGAGCCGAGGAGGGCTGCAGAACAATGTGTCAGCCATTTATCACACGGAGATATAATTAGACAAAATTCTACTCTGGTTATTGTTGAAGGAGTGGGTTAGTTAATTTAATGTATCATCTGTGTTCTCATTAGTGCCAGATCACATCAAAGCCTTTGCATGTGCGGCTTCGGAAATGTCTGACTGCATTAGCTGGTGCACAAATGTTGCCTTCTCACGTGAGGACTTCAATTTTAATCTCTGTGTGGACTTCTCAGGAGGAAAAGAGGATAATAAAAGCGTTCTCATTTCTGACGGGAAAGTATTTTTAAATGTAAAGATATGAAATATATAAAAAAGGTCCTCATATCATATCGTTCTAAGGTATTATTGTACAAAATGTGTTCAAATTCAATCTTCAAGGGCCAAAATGGAATAAAACCGCCGGATAGCAACCCTTAAATTCACTCGTTCACTCACCATCTGGACACTCAGGTCCTCCCAACATGCCTTGTTCCTGCTGAGGTGGCAGGGGTGGTGGCGGTGGCGGTTGAGGCTGGACGTTCTCCAGTCCCAGCAACGAGGAAGAGGAGGATGAAGAGGACATTGAGGAAGAAGAGGAGGAGCAGGGCGGGGGAGAGCTGGGAGGGCACTGGGAGCTCTGGTTGGGCACCGCTGACTGGGAGCTCTGGAAGGAGAGAACATTTAAATAAACGTTACTTTTGTCCAGGATTTTGAGATGTAAACACAGACTGATTGATCAAATTCTCTCTCATTAGGTTCCTTCAAATGTTTCCAATTCACAAAATATAATTTGAGTATTTCATATTTAAACTTTTCTTTAAACAGCAGTGCCTATGGCGGACATTTTTTAGGGACCTCATGCCAAATGTAGAAAATGGTACTTTGTTTTAAAATGATGGGCAAGTTGTTATGGGTCCTAAGGGCTTTTAAAAATGTTTTCAATTAAATGGATCTTCTTTCTTAAACAGAAAAACAATGGGTACATTCATGGAGACAGTTTGATATCAACTTGTTTCCTCACAATTCTTAAAGCTATTCCACTTGGAGAAGAAGGATGGCACACATAGTAAGCTAGCAATCTAACTAGCAAAATGTTATAGTGACCGAGATAGCGGGCTAACGCTGTATTAACATTATGTTCAAGGTAGTTTTCCCCTATTGCCTGCCTTTTACACCTGAAGATAAAAAACAAGCCTAAATTAACCTTTTGTCACATGTTTTTAGCTGTTAGCTAATTACATTTGTTGTGAATATTCAGTTTTATTTGGATGTAACCATGTAAACACAACATTACACATTAGCAAGCTAACCTCCTAGCACACAAGCTTGCTAGCTAGCGTGACAAAATGGCGTCCTTACCGAAAAAATATCCTGTTTGAAACCTAAAAATAAAACATTATCATACGTATGTAAGCTAGTAAATACATAACAAACAAACTTGTACCACCTAAACCATGATATTTTGAACCTTCCAAAAGAGTTTTGTTAGCTAAAGCTAATCAAGTGGTTGTGTTTCAAAACCTGTTTGCGACATTAACGAAAATGGTAATATAATAAAATATTTAATTTGAAAACTAGCTTTACTGTTTTATGAAGACTTGTTGCACATTTTACAAGTGGTTTTCTGCTTCGGTCACTTTACGGTGACAGTCACTCTTTACGGTGGATAGCTAAAACCACAACGTTGTTAAAGCTCCCATGTCATGCTTTTCCGGTTATTACCCGTCCCCTTGTGTGTTATGAAGGTTTTTATGCATGTAAACGGTGTGCAGAGTCAAAACCCTCAAAGTACACCCTGTAGCGAGTAAAACTCTAACACAGAAAATACCTCCCCAAAACGCCTCGTTGGAGATACGTCACTGGCCATTTGAGTCTTCCATTTCGTTCCGGGTACGGCATGATGTCAAGCGGTACCCGGAACGAAATGGACCAATCCCGAAGAGCCGTTACGTTACGTCCGCGGAGCCGTTACGTTAAGCCCCCGCTGATTGGTCCAAATTGACCGATCCACGGACTTCCTCACACACACATCTGTGTGCAGGAAGCAGGCAGCTCAGCTGATTTCTCCTCCCTGGCTGCAGGCTGATAACAGACAGTTGGGATCGCGGCAAAATTCTCTCTGCAGACCCATTCTCACAGCGTTTATCAACCTTTTTCTTACTCAATATCAAGCCACACTTATTGTTTTTACTTCGGATGTGAGTTTGTGTGTGCTCAGGATGAGTTTGGCTGTGTTTCGCTATGTATCCTAAACAAGGAAGCAACACCTCCACGGAGCTCAGCGCGATTCACAACGTCCCGACCAATCAGAGCACACTGTGCTCACAGGGAGGGTGGGGGCTGGAGCTTTTGGAGCTACAACGAGCCGTTAAAGGCAAATAGTGAAATTCAGTGAATACAAGTAGTTTACAGAGATGCTGTATGAGAAACCAATGTGAGTTTGGAAAAATGCACAGTATAAATCTATTTTAGTATACCTCAACAATGGAATTATGATCAGTGGAAATGGCCATGACACCTCTCCTTTAATAGAAATAAATAAAGTCAGGTCAATATGTTTGGCCTGGCAAGTTCTATAACTAACAGCTACACCTTGTCAAATGAAAAATAAATCTTCTTGCAGCTTGGTGAGGTTGAGGCCAAGTTTTTAAAGCTTCAGTTTCTCCATCAGCCCTACCTGGGAGGGGATCTGGGCCCGGGTGGAGCTGGGCCCGTTGTTGTGCATGCCCATCCCGTTCTCAGTGAGGAACTCCTCCAGGTCCATGTACTGCAGCTGGAACAAGCCTCCGTCACAGGGCAGGGTCCTCTCCCACAGCAGCGGGCCCAGGAACGCTGACTGGGAGTTGGGACGCAGCGGGCCGGACCCAGGGGCTCCAGGGGCCCCCGGGGCCGCACTGGGAGCACCTGGCCCTCCGGTGATGACACCCGGATTTGATTCCTCATCAGATTCCGCAGGCTTATCTTTATCTGGAGAGAAGGAGAAGTATGTTGGATTATTTTATCTGTGTAATAAAAGAAGAACCATCCTAAAATGGTCATGTATCTCAATCCACTTGTCTGTGCTTGTTATGAAAGGTTAAATAAATAATAAGAAATGATAAGAACTGAAAATATGCAGCTAGAAAATATGTGTTTCAGGGTGTGAAAATGTTTAGTATTTTGTGCTGTAGAGCAGAGACTAGCCGTGCAGTGAACGGCTGAAAATCTAATTTGTTTTCTGTAATCAATCTGTCTTCAGCTTAATGTGACAGGGATTTATTGCCTAAAAAAAAGCACTTAAACAAATGCAGTCCTCCATTCCAAAACACTGTGTGTCCCTATAGAAATAGCGTCAAAGCATTTCAAGGCATTGTATCCTTACATACTGTATATGGTGACCAAAATCAAATCCATGTGTCCCCAAATGACTTCCGCCGTCAATCCATAACTATAAAACAAATATCTCAAATCTGATGCAATTGTGGCCCAAAAATGATTAATTTAAAACATCCTTTCACACACTCTTTACAAGTGCTCAAAGACAGAGTCTGGACGCCAGATGGTCACAGGTTTTATCCCCTAAGGGTAACACACTTGAACATCCAAACACACATGCCTTTTGTTTTCTATGTAACGCTCCAAAATGGGAAAGTTAACCTCAGTTCAGCAAATGTTATATGGTTTACCTTGAAGGCCTCATTGTCCTCAGAAAGCTTCTGAAATATTCAGAAAATTTACATTTGGTTCCCTTTTTCTGGTTTTGAACCGCTTGTGATTGCATCCCTTTGTTCCTGAGGTGAACCAGATCTTGCATTTATCTACAAGAAGCTGCGTTACAATCGTGTGAAACGTAACTTATTTTCCGACAAACAAACAGCTCCCGAGGCTGATTCTGTCGTTTGATGAACACCGGCTGATGTTTGTGTCCTTTGCTCTCTGGGAAGCACTTAGTTGCGATCATTAAAAGGCATCTATAAATAAAGTCGACTAAACTGACCCTGACATGTCATGACCTCTATCTAAGCGGTAGGGTCTGATGGAAAGATAGATAAGGCCATCAATAAAGCATCAGCACAGAAAATAAACGAAAACATCCTGCAAGTAAACTAAAAAAGAACCAAACTTCATCACAAGGAGAGAACTGGAGTGATTGTTTTGTACCCTGATCCTTTGATAATATTATTCTACAGAATCAAGCCTCACAAAGTGCATATTGAATAAATGGAACAATGAATAATACAACCCAATCAAATAGTAATAAAAGAGCATATTTAACTGGGCTGCGGCGAAAGGGAAAAGGGGAATAATGAACAAGCGAGAGAAGGAGACATCGGGAGAACATCGGGGCGGCCGGAAATTTTCATTTAAAAAGGGATTAAAGAACATAAAGTCAGGGGAGATTACAGCGGAAAGATGGAGGGACGGAGGAAAAGAGTTGAGGCCTTTAAATGCATGTCCCTCATAATCTCTCTGCTATCATCATCATCATCTGCCACTTTCTTTTCAATTACTGTCTGTTTAATACAAAACTCAAAGGACTCTAATGGTGCTTTTCCACTGCAGCACGTAGCACGGTTTAAGTGGGCCGGGCCAAACCAGGCCCGCTTTTTTTTGCTTTTCCACTAGGGGTAGTTCCGACTCAGGGCTACTTTTTCACCTTTATTCTGGCCCTCCAAAATCGAGGTTCTTACTGGGCCAACAACCGGGCTGAATATGCTAAACTAGTGACGTAAACACTCTCGACTGCTGAACGGTCAGAGAGAATCGCTGGCAAGGTGGCTACAACTACAACAAAATGAACATATTTTACCGTGATTTCATTGTAATACACGTTTCAAAATGATGCAACAACATACTGATACCGGTCTGCAGACAAGACGGCAGGCGAAAAACCTTTTTAAATGTGTGTTTTCTGAATGGAGATCGGATCGATCAGGCTAACCTAACGTTGTATATGCTCCGTCCACACTCACAACAACGGCCTACAGACATAAATAAACCAGCGACTGTGTATTCGCCATGACACAGACAGTCTGTGGTTTGTACTTGTTTAACTTTTGTCTAGTTTTTGAACAGATATGAGGAGCTGTGAGCTCTGAGTGCTAACAGCTAACGGCTGATGTTTTGGTTTTGTGGTTCGCATTGAAGATGACGAATGAAGAAGGTAAACATAGAAACAAAGCCGCAAGATTTTGCGCCCTACCTTGCAGTGAAGAGGAGGTAATATACCAAATAATGAAAGTAATATTTATAAAACGTTATTTTGTTGACAATTCCTACTAAAGACACCATTAGCCACCACTAGGTAAATTAGCACCAACAATCCAAAGCAAATCCATGTATCTCATCATATAGGATGCTCATTTTGAATTTTCAGGGCTGATTGTGCACTTCATGACTGAGGCTACAGAGTGGAATATAAACAGAGAGTCAGCCAAACTATGTGAAATCACAACTGTATAAATACCCACATTGTATGGTAGCTCAATACCAAAACACAGCTGATAGCCTGACTGTGTAGCCACAACAACATGGAGATGCTCCTACTGTGCTGACTAAGAGACAGTAATCTAGGTACAAAGATTTAAAGATACAAGAAATAACTAATGTACAGTGTTTCCCCTACCATTGTCTTGGAGGGGCCCTGCTCCCCGCCAACGGAGCCCCGCGCCCCCCCTGAAATTCAAGGTGTTTAAAAAAAGAAAAAATATTATAATTTCTTTTTTTCTTTATAATTTTTTCTTTTTTTATATATATATATATATAGCACTAAATTGCAACTAATCTATATCTACTGTCACTTTTCACATCGAACATGTGCTCTTTTATTAAATAAACCAAATGCTTTCATTTTAAGTTGTGAGTTTAGTGTTTTTGACCCTAAGAAATACTGATGCATTAACCAATAACAATACTCCACAGCTCCTCTCTCTGCTCCAGAGGATTTAAAAAATATATATCCCAATGCCCCCCCCCCCCAAAGCAGTAAACCTACGGGAAACACTGAATGTATGTGCATCAAAAGCACAAATGACTTCATGCTGCTTACACATTAAAAGCCCACCTGCAGGCTCCATAGAAAGGACAGGAGAAGAAAGCACACAACAATATAAAAGCAAGAGGAAAACCCTCCAAGAGGAGCACAAGGAGAGACTGAAAACAGACAGAGATGAGATGTGCTGTAAAAGATGCAGAGGAGAAGCCTGAGAAAAGATGTAAATCAGCAGAGGGACCGAGGATGAAGAGGAAGAGGAGCAGGAGTGGGAGATTGTGAAGGCGTCACACAAAGCTAGCCAGGAGGGTGAAAATCCACTCTGCATCGAGGAAACCAAAACCCACACAGCGGCATCGTCTTTTCCTTTTTGAACACATCCCTGAATGCATCACCTAACATTAGGACATATGCATTCTATGAGAGCTGACAGTGACGCTGAAGTGGGGGCCTCTGAGCTGCTTTCTGACTCCATGGAGAGCCTGTCAGCCGCGCTCACCATCATCTCCTCCTCCTCCTCCTCCTCATCATCATCATCATGCAAAGGAACAGAAAGCAGCTGCAGTTACACCCATATGCCACCAGGGGCCACCAATAAGCAGGAGTCTTTGTTTTTCTCCCTTTCTTTATTCGGTGTGTTAACTTTTATACATACTTGTGGACTCTTTGACAGTCCATTGTGCTTGTGAGGACATTTTAACACATCATCACAGTGGCTTAATAATAAAGTTTGGACTAAGAAGAAGAACAATCCTCAAGGGAGTGATTTTAAGTGTCCTCACAAGCACAGCAAAACCAGTATCTGAGTGTGCGTGACAGCAGCTGACTGGGAGTTATGACATCCCCACACTAAGAGAGAGGAAGGAGAGGCAGTCTGGTTAATATTTGTCATGGCAGCTGGTGCATGGGAAACAATTCAATCCCGCTCACTAACCTTTATTTAAACAGAGCGGAGAACCAGAACACTGCTGCTGCTGCTTTGGCTGATTTTTCTTTTGATGGCATTAAATCCAGATTGTGTTTCTTTTTTTAAACCCTCCTCATCCTCCTCCACATGGGCTTTTCATTCCAGCACCAAAATACAAAAGGGACGCGTTTAATATCAGAATCTAGCAGGCCAGAAGGAGGAAGGATAGTGTGTGTGTGTGTGTGTGTGTGTGTGTGTGTGTGTGTGTGTGTGTGTGTGTGTGTGTGTGTGTGTGTGTGTGTGTGTGTGTGTGTGTGTGTGTGTGTGTGTGTGTGTGTGTGTGTGTGTGTTGGATAAGCAGGAGCTCTGTCTTTTACAAACACACCTACCCACTCAATCACATGCACACACACACACACACACACACACACACACACACACACACACACACACACACACAGCAATGAAAAGTAAATCAGTCTAATATTCTTGTGTGTTCCTGCAAAGATTATATTGAGTAAAGGCTAATGAGTATTTATTCAAGTTTTTTCATAATTAGAACAGCAAACAAATGATCATTTTAATTATTATTTTCTTGATTAAAATGTAAAAAATGTAAGAAATGCTGATTATAACTTCCCATAGGAGTATACCTGACATATTCGCATTGCTTGTCTTTACCAAACAATCAGCACCCACATCCCTTCATATTTATATCAGGTTGGACTATTGAAAGCCTCAAAATCATCCCTTGAGAAGCTTGTACCAAATAATTTCTGGCTTGTTGTCGACTCATTGATGAATCAAGTGTTAGCTCTAGTTCAATACCTCCTTAGCAGGATATTTCTGCAGGTGCATTTAAGGTTCATGGTATCCTTACTGCACATAATATGGATTATTTAACAATAATATATGACAACATGTATCAGACAAACATGCATTGTACTTATAGTGCATGCATATTAATTTTAGTCCATTTGAATGCACCTAATGTAAACATGCATTCATCTATGATTGTTCTGCAGTTGCTTATTGGCTGAGGTCTTTTCCTTACTGTCCCTTTAAGAAGTTTCTCCCCTATAGGATGCCTCTCTTTCTCACACGTAGGTACACACATACACACATACACACACACACACACACACACACACACACACACACACACGAACACATGAACACATGAACACGTGCACACACTCACCTTTCATCTCGCAGCAGTCCTTGGCCCTCTGGTCGGCCTTGATTGGCAGCTGGAGCAGGGTCTTCAGGTTGGTCATGGAGGTCAGGTGTCCTCCCTGGGTGCCACTTCCGGCCGAGTTGCTGGCCCCAAACTGGGGGCTGGTGGCCCCGGCAGGGAGATCCGGCGGTAAGAGCTGAGTGAGAGGCCTTGACATAACTTCAAGGGGGGAGGAGGAGGAGGTGGGAGGTGAGGGAGGGGAGGAGGAGGAGGTAGAGAAGAGCAACCTGCAGACTCTAAGTTCAAGATCAAAATAATCCAATTAGTGACGCTAATTGACAGGCGCGTCGTCACAAAGGTGCGCGGGCAGGTGACGCGTTTAAAATCTCCACCTGGAATCTCGATTATCCACCCGTCCCATGAAGAAAAAAGGTGTACAAAATTAAAAGAGGGGGGACTTATCTCCAAAATGGCACCATGTTCGCCGAGTCTAATTCATCCTCTCGGTTCTGGCTGAGCCTTCACCTCTTTGAAACAACTCTGCAATAATGAACGCACACACAGGAAGACAGATTGGATCCTGGCGCTCGCGGCGAGTAAAGTCCTCTTTGAGTTTGTGTTAAAGGAAACTCTCGCTCGGGTCCGGTCCGTTGGTCGGTCGCTTGATTTTTAATCCGGAGGGGGAAAAGCAAAATTAAAATAAAAGCAGATTCAAACGCGGATGGCCGTACAGTTCCATGTAGTGAGAGAGGATTAGAAACAGTCGAAGCGAAGAGTCTCCTAGATAGAAAAAAATAACTTGTGATTAAATATGAGCGACAAAATATAAGATGAAGGAAATAAAGAGATCCCCCCCGAAAAAAATAAATAATATCCAGTAGTATGAGAGTCAGATAGATGAGACTGATGGCTCTTATTTTCCTCCCTCTCTCCCTCTCTCCCTCCCTTTCTCTCGCTCTCTCTCTTTCTCACACACACATACACACACACACACACACACACACACCTCTCTCTATTTTCGTCCTTCTTTCTGACTCCCTCTCTCAGTCAGCTGGAACCAACACGGGCCGCTCGTGTGATGTCACCGCTCACGGGGGAAAAGCGATTGGGGGCGTGGATCATTTGCATAAATAAGCCACGCCTCCCCTGTCAGTAAAGCATTCTGCGTTCACGGATGCATGGGAAAGCTGGTAAATTTGAGTTGTTTTACATGTAAACATATACGGTTCCAACTGTAATTTTACTTTATGGCAAATTTAAATCAAACTGTTGGATAACTTCAAATGATATTCAACTTGGTTGAATTATCCTCCAACAGTTTTTAATAATAGAGCAGTTGGTCAAACAAAAAAATGACAACTGAAAATGTCCTATTGGATTGTAGGAATGTATAACAGCAATTTGTTTGTACTGTTTTCTGACATTTTATACACAAAATGATCAGTTTGCTTTATTCAAAAATGACGACATTTAATATTACCTTTAAACCAAATATCATAAAGATCAAAGAGACGTCATGAAAACCATGAGGCTAGTTCTGTTTCATTATTGTTTTTGTGTTGCATGATTAAACTTCTAACTATAAACTATAAAACAGCAGCTGAATTGACCAGTAACAATATTAATAATATTGTTATTTTATTATAAGGCCTCCTTTACACTGCATGCATGTCCAATTTAAATAGCTTTGTCATTGTACGACAAATGGAAAAGCTATTGAACAACACCAAAATAATAATAACAGCCTATAAACGAAATAAAAGGCATACATCACACATCAAGCACTGCTATACAGGCTTTAACAGTATTAGAGTGTGCTAAGACTAAAGAGAATAGTTCAGTTCAACATATGATCACTTTTTGTTTACCTAATTATTTTTCACTTTGGATGTTTGGGAATTTCCTTTAATAGTGGTAATCATCGCGTTCTAGTTTTCCTACAGGTGTACGTGAACGCAACATATATATGCATAAAGAAAGCACACCTCCCCGCCAATTCAGCCAATGGCTGACAGCAGCTGGGACTGTTGCACAGTAAGACACGCCCACCTGAGCTGAGCTCCTCTGTGGATGGACCATGAACGCACCCGCCCCTCTCTTCTTCTCTCACGCTGTCATTTAAACAGGGAGGCCAAAAAACAAGATGACCACTGGCTGAGAGTAACACTGAAGAGCCGCACAGCACAGGGCTGAGACTTCAGGGTGTTGTTTGCTCTTTGTACCTTCACCCTCTGTGTTATCTTAGAAATGTTGGAAAATCTGATTATTTTTACCCACAACGTGACAGGATTTGCAGGGTCAGAATAAGCAGCTCAAACAAAGCAATCACGCACACCAGGTGTCCAGATGTGGGCGGAAAGAGTCTCACACAATATATAACAAACACTTCTCTGCTACATTTACAGGTAGAGATAACACCAATGGCGTAATTTGTCAGGAATATAAACTGAACATTTTATTTATAAATGTTAATTAATATATATTGGGAATGGTTTCACTCATAAAACAACTATATACTATGGAGTATTGAAATAGTCACATGTATGAGAGGTTAAAGTGTATTTAATCCCGCACAAATGGTCGGCAGAGCCACACGGTTAGTCTGTTTTTCTCCCTGTTAAATGTCCCTATCTGCCTCTCGCGCTCAAAGAAGCACATGGCCTCGGCACGCGCCGACTGTTGCCTACCAGTACCGGCGATCCTGCCGCGCGCTATTGGCTGAATGTAGGTCACTCGCGGCCTCTGCCTCGCTCCTATTGGTCAGAATTAGGTCACAGTCTCCGCCCACAGGTTTCCCCATGCTACTGCCGCGTGACAGGCCGTCTGGAGGGGACCAGGGAGGGGGCTGACTGTGGATTAGAGCTGAAAGAAAATCACAATTATTTCTTTATATTTCATTCAACAACACAAAATGAAAAATATAAGAATAAATATAAAAAAAATTAAGTATTAAAAAAAATCTAAGGAAAATGTACTTTAATAGAGCTGGGGTGCTAAAAAACAACTCTTAGTGTTTTATGTTTTATATTGTATGTTTTTGTGTTGCATGTTTAAAATTCTAAACTATAAAAAAACAGCAGCTGAATTGTCCAGTAACAATATTAATAATATTATTATTTTATTACAAGGCTTCCTTTTCACTGCATGCATTTCTAATTTAAATACAAAAAGATATAAAAATGTACAATCTTTGTAGGATTATTAAATGATGTCTGTGCATGAACTACATCTAACAAACATTTGTTTTAAATAAATAGCTTAAAATAAAATAAAGAAATGAATTATTATTTTGGTAACCATAGGAAATTAACAGCAATTTGTATGTTTTAAATCACAGTTACTTATATATCTTTAATTGTGTTCTTTGGTAGTGTACACGTTTGTTACTTAATGTCATGTTTGGTCTTGTTATTCTTGTACGACAAATGGAACAGCTATTCAACAACATCATAATAATAATAACAGCCTATAAAATAAATAAAGGGCATAAATCACACATAAACATGCCACATCTTGCGTTTCCTGTTAATACTAATTTGACTGATTCATGAATCCTTTGCAGCAGCTGCCCTGTGGGAACAACAGTTCCTGGAAGGACCTGGAAAGCCTGCAAGTCCTCTCTGGTGACAGAGGGCCGTCAAATATACATGACAGGAATGTGCTAGTAGTAAGAGGCCAAAATTATCTCTGCTCACACACACAACAGGAGTGTGTGTACGCTGGCCTGCATCAGTGAAAGTGAGGAACGACAGCTTGACTCAACTAATGTGTGATCAGAGTTTCATGAGCTATTTCCAATTCAGATTATTTCCCCAGTGTTTTTCCTCCAGACCTGCAGCAGCCATCTTTAAAGTGTTTCAATGGCGCCATCTAGTGGACATTTGTCAGTAATGCACCAAATTTAAGCATTACATACAAACCACAGCTACAGTACTTTGTTAACCCTCCTGTTGTGTTCGTCTCAACAACCCCCCCCCCCCCCCTTACTTTGGTGTTCGCGGTCAAATTTGACCGATCCTGTTTTAACTGCTATTACATTAACACAAAAACCATTAATCATCAACAAATTTCATATAACAACCTTTCAAACTGTAAATATTGTATCAGACTACTGGTATGAGCAACTGCAGTAAATATACAAAGAATAGACACTGAACATGTATTGCGTGTGCCAGGTGTGATCCATGTGGGGGGATGGGCACATAAGAGCGGGAAATGTATCAAATTGTTCTGTGTGTGTGTGTGTTTGTGTGTGCCAGGTGTGATTCACATGGGGGGATGGGCACAGGGCCGTCCCTGACCAACATGAGGCCCCACGCAAAGTTATATGATGAGGCCCTCTGTTTCGCGAGGGGGGGGGGGTGCTAGTGGAGCCTGTGCAGCGCCACACTAATTGCGCTGCATAAGCGCATAGGTGCGCCGCATTTTCGGCTCAGTTGAGGCACCCTCCGCAAGGTGAGGCCCCCTCCGCAAGGTGAGGCCCCCTCCGCAAGGTGAGGCCCCACGCAGTCTGCATGATCGGCCTGTAGGGAGGGACGGCCCTGGATGGGCACATAAGGGGGGGAGAACACATCTAGAGTGTGTGTGTGTGTGTGTGTGTGTGTGTGTGTGTGTGTGTGTGTGTGTGTGTGTGTGTGTGTGTGTGTGTGTGTGTGTGTGTGTGTGTGCGTGTGCGTGTTTGTGTGTGAGTGTGTGTGCGCTTTATCTGATCCGGATGGTTACTAATTCCTTTTCTTTATGGCGGTCATACCGGGAACACCATGGGTGTTACTAAGTTGACTAAATCATCCAAAATTCTATGAAAGTGGTGATCAGCAATTTTATACGTTCAAATGTCTACTGTGAAGGATATCATGAAGCCTTAATGCAATCAAATGTAAAACAAAAAAGTTATGATTGATGAAATTAGTAAATCACCAGGCCCAAAATACATTTCTGACCTCCTGCTAAATTATGAACCATCCAGATCTCTCAGGTCTTCTGGGACTGGTCAGCTTTCTGTCCCCAGAGTCAGAACTAAACATGGAGAAGTTCAGTTATTATGCTCCAAATATCTGGAACAAACTCCCAGAAACCTGCAGGTCTGCTGCAACTCTTACTACTTTTAAATCCAGGCTGAAGACTTTTCTTTTTGCCGCTGCTTTTAATTGATATATTCATATCTTAAACTGCACTGTAACTTTTATTATCTTTGCTTTTAAATTAGTGTTTTTAGATATCATTTTATAATATGTTTCTTAATGCTCTTAATGTCTTTCATTTTTGTAAAGCACTTTGAATTGCCTTGTGTTGAAATGTGCTATATAAATAAACTTACCTTGCCTAAATTGGTCAGATTTGACCCGAACACAACAGGAGGGTTAAACCAGTGATGAAATGTAACTCAGTACTTTTACTTAAGTACACATTTAATGTACTTATTATTCAGTATTTGCACTTATTTTCATCTTTTGCAGACCAGTAGCCTGTTTGACATCCAGGTGTTAACTGAGTAAATGTACTCAATTACTGTACTTTAGTACAACTTTGAGGTACTTGAGTATTAATGCTACTTTACACTACTCAACTATAATGAAGGGACAATAATGCACTTTTAACATATTATTTAGATTTTTTTGGTTACTTTGAAGATTCCGGTATAGAGCAATATTACAAAAATAATTTATAATTATATTTATATCTTCAAAAATAAAATTGTATTGATCCCTTGGGGAAATTCACAGGCTACTTTGCAGTATATTGTAAAAACAAAATCCTTCACAAGCTGCAACATTACAGTAAACAAATAATGCATTAATAAGTACTGATTGATAAAACCTACAATATTTTAGAATTTTGTGTAAACAGACAGGAGGCGAATATTAAGCATATTTATTAATGTTAATACTTTTGTACTTTTACTTAAAGCTCCCATGTCATGCTTTTCCGGTTATTACCCGTCCCCTTGTGTGTTATGAAGGTTTTTATGCATGTAAACGGTGTGCAGAGTCAAAACCCTCAAAGTACACCCTGTA